ATTGCTCTGGGAAAAATACATGTGGGATTATTTTATATACAACTTCGTTCTCTGCACAGTTGTGATCTCGATAGCATGCCAAATAATAAATGATGGTATATTTGAAAACACATTACATGGAAAGCTGATTCTCCATTTCTGGAAGTTTTAAAAAGAACTGGCAACCATATTTCATATTTAATTTGTTTTCCTGTTCATGGAGACAGTTGAACTTTGTGGGCCCTTCCAAGTCTATAATTATTTGATTCTATATATTATATTCATATCATGATTTATTGCAAGTTACCTAGATTATGTTTTGAATTGAAGTGTGATAGCCTTTAAGACAATAACTGTATTTTATAAATGTATTGATGTTGAGTTAGTAAGAAACATCATAATCATTCTATTAACTTTTCTAAAATTCAATACTGAGGTACGTTTTCTAAATTATTTATTTAAAATGAATGTGGAAGCCAAGTAAGTATTATCAGAAAGATTTAGGATAGAAATAATTTCTGCTTTAGTAGAATGCTAAATTTGGCATTTAATACTTGTGTTTTGCAAGGTTTTCTCTAGTTCATTATTTCATGGATGCAATAGTGAATTTTCTAAAAACAGAAATATTTCTGTGCACTACAATATAGACATTGTAGTTTTATCTCATCAGATAAAGATTATTAATTGTCAGAGAACATATGTATAACAGATATCCTCTTCCTTAAATTTGGCCATTGCTATGGTTTCACAAAAATATTATGGTTGCTATTTAAGTCCACTACTTGATTTAAAATATACAGTTTAAAATATTTACATTAAATATTTTGTTGTTCACTATTACCCTTATAAGGAAATTGCATCGCATTCCAAATGTGACTTATTTCATTTATTATGGAACAAAATATTTAATTTACAGATAAGAATCTTCAAACTATTCATATATTTAATGTTGATACCTATGACATTCTGATAGTATTTTAAAGTTCCTTGTTTTCCCCAATGTTCTTAATATTTATTCTTTCACATACTATGAAAATAAGACACTTTTACTTGGCATTTTACATTGCAAAACTCCTTTGTTCTCTTCTTGCTCTCTGAGTAAACAAGTTTGATGGAGGGATTTCCCAAATAATAAAATGAAGGTTATACAGTTTCAGGNCATGGAAAGATGAAGAAACAAGGATATATGTACCCCATTACTCCCTCATAAGGCATCATTGACAAGTGTGACAAATAAGTTTCCGTGTCATAAAGAAGCTGCCACACAATCATCTCTTCTACCACCTTCCCTAAAAAGGAGAAGTGGGAAACTGGATGCAAATGGTCCAGAAAAGTGGGATATAAGGACAATTCTTTAAGGAAAGGGCATACAAGGCCTCCTTAAAACGTCATGGAAACATCCCTTCATGCAGTGAAGAATTTGTCACCACCTGAAACCATCTGGCAGTCACTGTCCTGCAATCTTTCACCAGCCAGGAGAGACAAGGATGTAGTTGATAGGTAGATGTGCTGACAGCATTTCCTTAATAAAGAAAAAATAGGGAAGAGTAACAAACTAAAGAAAAAAATATCCTTAATCACACTCTTAAGAAAGTTATTGAAATAACTTATAGGTGAAATAAAAGTGAAGACACCAAACAAACTTAACCTTTAAAAAAAAATCGAAGTATTTAGTCATTATTAAGATCCAATGTTTTCATCAATCCTGCTTTAAGCCCAAGAAGTCTAGGGAGGGAAAGATACCAGTTTCTCCATATATCATATCGTAATTATTTCAGGATAGCAAATGCAGAAATTAAAATATATTGGTTAGTGAAGTCGGTAGCTTTCTAACTAATAAATCAGATGAACAAATGGTTATGTTTTTCACATATAAGATTGTGCTTTTACTAACAGAAATTTAACACGTATTTTGTTGAAGTCTTGTTCGCTTAAAGCTAGCCTTAAATCCATTAGGTTTACTAATGCATACTCTTAGCCTATCTGGAACCTGCAGGGAAAAATTTCAGAACTTTTGAGAGTTGAGCAATAAGGTTTAAAAGAGATTTAGGTTGGTAATATTTTATCATGACAGAAACCGTAAGTATAAAATATTAAGTAAGCTTAATGTACATTAAGTGCAAGTCATCAAGTAAAAATATGTGTCTAAATGTAACATCAATGTAAAATAGATATTGTGAACACATTGGTATACTTGAAATTTTAATGCCTAAGGACATTTTCTTTTTGCCACTACAAGAGGAACAATATAGAATAGGATTAAACTACCTTAGCTGTACCATTGATGTAACATTGTAATTTGGTTATTTATTTGATAAATGCTACTCATGTATTAGTTGCATTTATTTGTTGAATTAATAGATTTAGTAGGTGCATATATTATAGTAATTTTCCTGTTAAGCCAAGTCTATGCACAACAGCCATCACCTACCTGTGCAGAAGACTCAGTGTTACCTATATCTCTATTTACTGCAGCTGCTCTGGTTCAATGAAGGACACTACTGATCAAGAGATATGTATTTACACAGAAGAAACCTAGAAGAACTGTAGGTAGGGTAAAGGGATGTCCACACTGCTGCTTATTGACCTCTAACCACTGGGGAAGTTTGTTGGAAAGACAATCCCTCACTTTTCTGCCCAAATGGTCTTTCTTTCACACATACACACACCAGGCATGAAATTCTCTTACCTTTGCTACTGGTTNATTGTTGGGGGCAATATGTTGACTCTGTAAACTGCTTAGAGAGGGCTTTAAAAAGCACTGCTTTTTAAGTGCTATTTCTATTCTATTGTACAGTAATCAAACTAATAAGGGTTAAGTGGAATGGGACTGGGACAAGCCAAATTCCCCAAAAAAATTAACGAAAGGGGATACAAGCAGAAGTTCAAGTGGAGAAAGAGAGGAAGAAGAGAGGTGACTGCAGAAATTGTGAGTTCTGAGAGACTGTTCTCAGCTGAAACTGGTGAAAAAGATTTCTCCTGAATAGCTGTTGATTGCAAGGGGTATATCATGAGAACTATTGATTACCCATTGTAGCAGCTGAGCGATTTTCCTTGGTTAGATTTGGTACAGGATGTTGAATTGCAGTAACATTAGGAGAAAGTAATCGTATTATGATGTAATGCTTCATTTTAAATGAAGTAACGAGCTAAATGAGCTCAAATACAGATGTCTGACTTCCCAAATTTTAATAAATTCAACATTATTTTTTTCAATGGCAGGAGATATTAATGAAAAAAAGACTCAATATAAGCGGCATTTCCTGAAACAGAAGCATAATGCCAAACTACTTGAAGGAGGGGAAAAGGAAAAGAAACCAATAGGGTTACACTTGAAGTTCAGTGAACTTCATTCTTTAGGCAAGTGAAGAGCCCTAGTGTTTGATCTTCTAAAAACCCAAAAATTCTACCCAGAGCCTTAGCTTTTTATTACATATCTCTGAAAACAAAAGGAAAAAAGGACAACCTGCCAATCTATTTCAAAATGGATTGTTCTTTTCCTCTAAACGCATGCATTAGTAGGAGTTCAGTGCCATTTTCAGGTTCACAGATATTCTACAAGAGCACAGATGCCTTCCTGAAAGGACTTGCTGTAAAATATAGTTGGGAAGCTGAAACACGGTTAACGTTATGTCTCCCTGACAAGCGTTGGGCTTGTTCATTCTAGAAATTAACTCTAGAAAGGAAACAGGTATGTGCATGGGATTTTGTGCATGGGATTTGAAACATGAAGTTCACTAGATTTCCAGTATGATCACAAAAGAGAGAACAGGATTGTCTTAACAATTTGATCTTGTATGCTTTAACTAGAAGCATTTGAAATGTGGATTTACAGACAGCTGTTACATATANTATCAATCTAACAGTATGGCGATTGACAATCTCTTTATATTTCAACTCTAACTCTTTCAGTCTTAAAGATTTGGTGAAGATGAATCCAAAAATTCTTTTAAAGAGGAAAAAAAATGCTTGCACAATTGCATCCATGGAGACATGTATATATCCACAACACACAGAGAAACAAACTTAACAAAGTGTTAAGTCTGCCCACCAACCAACCAACTAACTAACTCTCTCTCTCTCGCTCTCTCTCGCTCTCTCTCTCTGTTTGAGAGGGTCTCTCTCTCCTCTCTCTCTCTCTCTCTCTCTCTCTCTCTCTCTCTCTCTCTCTCTCTCTCTCTCTCTCAGAGAGAGAGAGTGAGAGAGTCCCTCCTTCCTTCAGCCCAACACTCTCGCTGGCATCCCGGCCAGATGAGAGGGGCTGCAGTGGGTCTCCCCGAGTTTAGGGCAGCGAGTCATTCGATGGGAAACTTGCCTCTTCGAAGGAATGACCCGGCTTGGCTCCTGCTTTCAATTTGCTGCCCAACGACCGAACGGAGAAGCAAAGAGGCAGGAGAGATGAGGCAAGAGAGACAAAGCGGGAGCCAAGCCGGGTCATTCCTTCTAAGAGGCAACTTGGAGGTTGCTGTATACTATACGTAGAATAATTTTTAACAAGGTTAGGAAGACTTTTAAACAATAATAAGTTAAGTAGAAGGCCAAACTATCTTATATGGTAGTGTTTAAAAAGAATTGGTGGATCTGTCTAGGTTTTTAATTTCATTTAATTTTATCTTATATTTATCTTATACTAAATTTCTAACATTCTTGCTTTATCTTGCTTGGGTATTCATTTCATTCTTTTTTCTGACTTTGTGCAAAAATTTACATGAATTTTCTTTTATATGAATACATGTTTTCTACTTGATTTCTGTTACAGTAAAATTGTTATTGTAAACATTTTTCCAAAATTGCTTTTTAACCCTTTTTATTCTGTTTTATTATTGTATTCATATAAATAAATTAAATTTCAATTAAGTGTTTAGAGAAACAGAAAATGCAAACAATATGTATGTTCCTATATAAAGTACTGATTGGAAAATTTAAATTAAGTAATTTCATACTAATAAAAGAGTCCAAGCAAAGTCATTTCATAGCTTCAAACTCTCACATTAATATGTTTGTCTTCCTTTTCTTTTCAGATCCTGTGCATGGTCCAAGAAAACTTGAAGTTGTAGAGATCAAATCCTGGCAAATCACCATCACCTGGGAGCCATTTGGCTACAATGTGACCCGTTGCCATAAATATAACCTTACAGTCCATTACCGTTACCAAACTGGTGGACAGGAGCAAGTTAGAGAAGAAGTGAGCTGGGATACTGACAATTCACACCCTCAGCACACCATTACTAATTTGTCCCCCTACACTAATGTCAGTGTCAAACTTATTCTTATGAATCCTGAAGGAAGAAAAGAAAGTCAGGAAATTGTGGTACAAACTGATGAAGATGGTAAGTTTTAAAATGTAATATTTCTAGCATTTAATATGGACTAGACAACCCATGACTGTGGTGTCAATATTTCAGAGAGATTTCCTTTACCTAAACAGAGAAACAGAATGACCATGTGGACATTGGAGCAACTTCTGACTTCCTGTGGGTTTTCCCACTGAATTTCCTTGTGGGAAGCTGGCAGTGGAAAAGTTCCCTTCCCTTCTGTTCCCCCTTTGCCTCCACTCCACTCCGTAGCATATAAATTACACACATACACATGGTGATTATATCATTAGAAAAGTGTGTCTGTGCGCGCGTGTCAACTACATGATTTTAACTGTTTGCTTAAAACTGTTTAATGGACAAAACTCTTCAGAAGTTACTTTGCCATTGAAAACCATTGTTATTTTAGAACTACTTGAATATATCTTATTAGTACTCTGCCAAATGATTTTTGTAATCTTAAATGAAACTTTAGTGTTCCTAAATTACAGTGCACTTTGCTAAGCATAATAAGATGTTTTTATTTTATTCATTAGTTCCAAGTGCTGTTCCGCTTGAATCTATCCAGGGAAATACTTTTGAGGAGAAGATTTTTCTTCAATGGAAGGAGCCAGTACAAACATATGGAGTGATCACTTTATATGAAGTATGTTATACATTTAACTATAGGATTGATTTCAATCAATATCATAAAGTATTTTTCTTATATATCTGATAATTTTTCCTATTGATTCACAATTCAGCTTTTAATTACACTCATGCTATTTTAGCATTTTAATTAGAAAATCTCAGAGGAAAAATATAATATAGTACATATTAATCTCAACATTAAGGTGGTGATTTTTGGTATTTAGGATATCAGTGCTGCTTATAAAGGTAAAGGTTCCCCTCACACATATGTGCTAGTCGTTCCTGATTTTAGGGGGCGGTGTTCATCTCCGTTTCAAAGCCGAAGAGCTAGCTCTGTCCAAAAACGTTTCTGTGGTCATATGGCCGGCATGACTAAACACCAAAGGCACACGGAACACTGTTACCTTCCAATAAAAGTGGTCCCTATTTTTCTACTTGCATTTTACATACTTTCAAACTGCTAGGTTGACAGAAGCTGGGGCAAGTAACAGGAGCTCACTCCATTACGCAGCACTAGGGATTCAAACTGCCGACCTTTCTGATTAACAAGCTCAGCATCTTAGCCACTGAGCCACTGCTTCCCTAGTGCTGCTTATACTTCTATAATATTTTTTCTGATAACTGCAGAAGGTTTATGAGTGCCTTAACTCTACTTTCATTACACCCCTTTGTCACTTTGATACACACACAGATTTTCTCCATCCCATCTCATTCTGTTCCCAAATTAATTTATACCCACTATTGCATTTTTACAATTTTATTGTTGTAACAGAAAATAAGAAGAACCTGTCATTTATTAAAATGCAAATTCAACAAAATCATGTTATTTGTTAATCTAACAAAAGAACTATAGGACACCTCTGCCCTAAGATACCTTGTGTAAATATACTGACAAAGCATATTTTGTTGTCAACCTATAATCACTGTCAAAACTCTTACTTGACTAAATTAGTTTGACATTTATGTTTTTACTTCATTTTCAGAAAGAGATGTTAAAATGTTACGGAAAAACCAAACCAAAAAAATATGTAATCTAGCTTTACGAAACTGTCAGTATTGTTTTCCAGCCAGTTGTGAAACACTGTTTTATTATAAAAGAAGAGAAATAATTTACTGTAGAAAAATATATTTCTAAAATTGAGTAGATTAGCAAAATAAAATTGTGTGGGTAATGAAAAAGTTATTCTTCCTGTGATTTATTTTATTTCTAGACCAGCTTTTCTTATCTAAAGTTCTGTGAAAGGTCTCTCTATGGCTTCCACTTGCAGTGGTGGGATTTTTTACAGGTCCAGACTAAACTGCTTCCCATTATAAATGTTGTAAACATGGATTGAATATGTTAGAAATGTATTGTATTATGATTTATTTGTGTTTTTTGAAATATTTCTTCAGGAGTAATCTAAGATACTGTATGAAAATTATTTCAAGGGGTCTTCTAGGGGAAAAACCAGACTAATCTAGATTGTCTAAATTCATAATCTTTCAAAACAGAATGAGAAACTACATATGAAATATAATAAGGAAAAAATTATGCAAGAATTGCCTGCAGAGAAGCAGTTTGTAGCTGAAACGAAGTGTTGTGAGCTGTCAGAACTCAGTACTGTACTATCAGTCAACCCTTATAATCTTGAAAAAAAAGTTTGTTCTAATTGTTTTTGTTTGAGCGTTGAACAAAGCATGTATCTTGTTACAACTTTCAAACAAAACATGGCTATTTTAAGAGTAGTATTTGCAAGTATTATGTGTGTTCTACAAGCCATGGTTGGAATGTTAACTTGTCATTAGATTGTTGTTCCTGGGTTTTTTTGTTTGTTTAACTTACATGCATAGCATCAGAATTTTCTGGTAATTCCTTAATAATAGTATGGGCTTAGACTGAATGGCATGATTAGAAATGCAGGAGAAATCAGAAAGCGCAGTAGTGTCATTTTACTGTACCAGAAATGAATCCACCTATCCAATTCAGTTATTTGAAGATCTTTTGAGAGCTTCTCTCTCAGTGAGTTACATGGATATGGACTACTAGGTGATAGAATTTTGGTAATTCTCGGGTCTCCTTTCTCTGTCCCGGTCTCTCTTTTAAGTATTCAAGCAGATTAAAATTTTGCCTTTAGTTGGTTGTTGAGTGGCCAGCATATTGTCAATTAAGAAAAGTGTGAAGTGCAATTGTCATCAAAGTGTTTCACAGCATCATTACCATCCTCAAACATATTTTTGGTCAGTTTGTATTTCTGTGTATACCTAACAAACAGATATTCATTTGTGAGGTCCTTGGTGCTCTCCGAATGTGATTGTTTTCTTGCAAATGTGCACTGATGATGTTACCCACTTTGGTAATAAAATTCTAAGAAAACAACCATACTTAAAGAGTAGTATGGATCCCACCATTCAATCCTTCTATCAGTTACTAATTTTCCTCCAAACCAGAAGAAAATTAGGGGGTGGGGGGAAAGCAGACAAGTTCAAAATATTAGCTTAAATCTGAATTATAGCCTTTAAAATTATAAACGTGGTATCTCTAAGCCCTGAGGCTACAAAAAAACACCTCACAATACTTTGGCTAAATCTGTGTTCTATGTATTTCAGACATGAAGTTCTTAAGAGTAAAATAACTTATCAGAAGGTGTCTGACATTGCAGACATCTAAAGGGTATGTTGAATAATTATGCAGTCCTTGTCCAACTTCTGATGATATTGGTATTCTTTTGTAGATCACATACAAGGCTGTCAGCTCCTTTGACCCAGAAATAGATTTATCAAACCAAAGTGGACGGGTTCTAAAGCACGGGAATGAAACACATTATTTGTTTTTTGGACTGCATCCTGGAACTACTTATTCTTTCACTATCCGGGCTAGTACAGCCAAAGGCTTTGGACCACCTGTAACAAGTCAATTTACCACAAAGATATCAGGTATTATTTAAAATCAGCAACCTTGCCATTATGATAAATGTTAAATTTATTTAAATTGTTTAACTTAAATTTTGCAATTTTATTTATGGATGTCAGGAGCATATTTTAAGTAAAGCAGTTAAAACGTATTTCCTTTCTAAACAATGTTATCTAAACATTAGTGCACACATCATTTTGTGTACAAAATATTATTGATATTAGTTTATTATTTTGAAACTCATTTTTAAAATGTTGAGACAAACTAAGCTAATCAGACATAAAAACATTAATCTCATATTAGGTTATTAAAATGGCCTTTTAGTAAATGTTCACATTTCTATGGCAAAGGCAAGCAAGGGTAGTACCAATAGTAATAGGTGCCTTGGCTGCAGTCCTAAAACAACTGGAGCACCACTTGAACACCATCATTGGACAAATTTACCATCAGTCAATTGCAGAAGGCGGCTTTACTTGGAACTGCTTCCATCCTGCAACGATATCAGTAACACTGTCAAACATTCAAATTTGCCTATCCCAGGTCCTTGGTAAGGACTCGACAGGTAGACAAAAATGCCAAACCCAGTCTGAACATCTGGCTCACTGTGCAATGATTAAAACAACAACAATAATAATACAAGAAAATAAAACAAGAAATAATAATAATATGTTATTACAGATAAAGTCCAGTGAAAAGAGGATACCGCATTTTTCGGAGTNCAAAATTAATTATATATTGAATGGTTAGGTTTAGTATATCAATTTTTTTAGTTAGTGTTGAAATGCTAATTTTTGCATTTAAGTTCACATTGCTTTGCGATTTATGTAATTTAGGAAAAGAATGTTCCTAAATATGGGTTTTCAAATATAAAAAGACATAGAAAGACCTAGGCAGAGTTTCAGTATCAGATATTATTAGAAAAACATGCCAAATTCTATTTCTTGTTTTGGTTTAAACTTTCCCTATCTTTAAATGTATTCACTTCTTATAATGATTGTTGCATGATAGTACAAATTCAAGTTATTTTAAGCAGGATGTTTTGTGAAAAATTACGGTACTTCAGTCTTTTTATTTTTTTTTCTCCTAAAATAAAAATAAATGACATTTGATAATATATTTCAAAGAGACCAAAATGTAATATATTATTTTTATATTAAAATTATTTCATTGTATTTCTTTGCATGTAAAAAATATTTTCAGGTACCTTGCATTCCAGAACAGCTATCTTTTTTCTACTCCATCATTGGTTCTTAAATTTACTTGATTACATTGCTATTCTATCTGCAAATCAAAGCCACTATTTTGTACTCATGGACATCAGATACTTACTTTTGTTCTGAGGCAATAATTTTCTAATATATTCACGGTTATAAAATGTTAACACAATCAGCAGAATATTGAGTGCAGCAGTGCTGAAATCTCTGTCTTAATATTTACAGCCTTAATTTTCAGTAGTTTACATCACTTGTCTTCCAAATCGATTAAGATATAAAGGAACTGTTAACATTTAAATTCATTGTTACTTCACTTAGTCACTGTTAATAATTCCTGAGGAACTACGAGAACAAAGCGAAGCATGGATAATTATATCTGAAGAATATTTCAAAATGATTATTGTAAAAAACATTATTTTGCCTTAAGGCATGTAATGGTGCAAAAGCTTTCATGTATATGTGTATATGTATATCTGTGGGCATGTGTTTATCTGTATTCCTTCTCTGCTCTTCCCTCTTCTCATATATTTATATACATACAAACACAACNAAAAATTAAAAATAGTTTTTGTAATCCATCAAAGGCTCTTAAATGTCATGTTTTATCATTTTACATCTATTCATATGATGTTCATCTACAAGTTTCCATTGTTTTTTCTAACATATAGTGCAATTCTTTTTTCAATTTTTACTAAAATTGTTTACTTCATAGATTTATATCCTATCTTTCAATCAGCACCATCAGGCAGCTACATAATGTTTCATTTATTGAGATAAATCAATTTTTTTCATTGGCATCTTTATACACTAGCTTTGTTTATTTAGGTATGAGATAATCTTAGGACGTGCTTATTCCTGCATTATGTTTTGTTTTGTTCACTGATTGCTTTGCAAACACAATCTCTCTGTGTGTATGTTTGTGCTAGCTCTCAGACAGAAAAGAATGAAAAAGTTAAAGGTTAAAATAATAATGCAGACTTATGAAATAATACTGACTGAAAAATGCTTATTGTTTCTAACCTGGGAGAGATATGCCAGACAATCAGTTAAAAGTATGATAAAGCATAAACCGCATTTGGGGAATCAATATAAAATGGAGGAAAATTGTATTGGTTTTATTATTTAATAGCAACTGCTTGAACCAAGAGTGATTTTTTTATATAAGCACAACTCTCATAAAATTCTCTTTAGCAAGATTTATTATGATGAAATTAGTGGTAATACAAGAATTCCAGCAAATAAAGTTTTTGTCATTTAGAATTAATATATCAATGTATATATAGGCAGTATTCTATTCACAGCTATAATTTTCTCACAAAGCATAATTTAAGTGCACAGAATTACATATTATATGCATATATTGCTCAGTGTATTATGAATTTATCATTTTTAAAATGCCCTATTTTCATCATGTTTAATTAATACAGTAACAATAGAAGTCCTATTTCTTATTTGAATAATTATATTTTTAATAGCATGTAGTACATTCTAACAATTTCAGATGTCTGTTATAATTTTTTTGTGCTGAAATGGACAAGCAAAAGGAGGGGGGGGGAGTGATTTAATATAGTTGGAAAACCTAACACAACCCGAACTGTGTTAGAAAATTAAGAGTCACTAATGCCTTGCAACACAAGCAGCACAAACAGCTTAAATTGTATCCATCTATTAGTTTGCTGAAAGATTTGGGCCTGAGAGGAGTTGGCCCTGAATATGTCTTGTCCAAGCTTCCTACCCAAATAGTGCAGAAGACTGAATAAACTGTAAAGCAGACATATACAGCCATAACATTGTCTTTTTATTTTTATGATTCTATTTCAAGCTCCTGAAGTTTGCGCTAAGACATCAGGCAGGAAAAAATCATTACACCCTGGGCTTTGCTTCTAACCCAAGTTTTTTATTATTAATGACAAGATCCTAAAATTACGCCTCATGGATTCTGAAATTGAGTTTTTCAAAAACATAGGAGTTGTAATAGGAGGTAAAGTATTAAGTTCCAAAGAAATGAACTGTGAATTGAACCTGCAATAGAAATTGATCCTATCAGTCAGTTTTTTTTCTTTGTTCTCTGGAAAAGAAACAACAAGCACATGTTACTGACTGTCAAGGAAATGAGGACCATTGATTAAATAAGATGCTCAAGTGCCAGAGGCTACAACTACATTAGCTGGTACCCAAAATTGTGAGCTGCAGCTGTCAGATTTCACTGCTTGATACCTAGATGAAATTGGCAGAAAGAGAGCAGCATAAAAAAATATTCCAGGTGCCATCAGATAAAGAGCAAAAAGTTACCAGAGAAAGCTTTAAGCACCACAGATTTTGTGCTTATGGAAACAATATTGCCCTCTTAAAGTGAATCAGTGGTCCTGGATAGCATGGTGATTCACACCATGCTGACCAATTTATAATAGATTAATATGATGGGCTCCATGACTCTTTCAATCAAACTGTTATAAATTGGGGAGGACCTAGCTTTATAATCTCTCCTTCTGTCTATAAAATTTCACAAAGTGAGGAGAAAACAAATATATCATGTAAGGTTTATATGTAATATACAAAATATTGTATATTGCATACAAATACAACATACAATATTACAATATATAATTAACTAGCAAGAGAGATTTGAGATTGAGAGAGATTTAGAATATAACACAACTAAATCACTCTTTCTTATGGGCTGATTCATTGATTTCGCTATTTTGCTTATCTATAAAAGCATTACAATGATGTTAACACTCAGTTTCAAACAGCCCACTTAAGATACATTCCACATTCTTTTCATTTTACTTATTCCAGAGGGAATAGAGAGACAGCCCATGGCATTAAGTAGAACAGAGAAATTAATCTACTGCAGGATTAAGCCCTGAGAGACAAAAAGATCAGCTATCATGTTTACAATCTTGGTAGCACCATTTAAAGGACCTCACTGTATAATCAATTTATTTAACTATCCTATGGCTATTAGAGTGAATGACAAGTTTGAAAAGTTACCTGGCAGTTTACTGTCAATTGTGATTATATGTAGAGGAATTCCTGTACGTCAGGGTTGTCAAACTCAATTTCATTGAGGACTGCATCAGAGTTGTATTTGAATTGGGGGCGGGGCATGGCCAGCTTGATGTCACTCATGTGAGGGCACATGTGGTGGACTGAGTGCTCTGCCAGCTAAAACAGGCTCCGAGCTCTGTTTTGGCTGCAACGGCTTCCTCCAACCCTCTGCCAGTGAAAACAGAGTTCGGGAGGCCCACACGCGGCACTTGCAAGCTCCGTTTTTTCTGGCAGAGGCACCGGGAGCCAGTCCTTCCCTGTTTCCAGGGTGGCCCCACGAACCAGATCTAAGCACCCCATGGACCAAATCCGGGCCTTAGGCTTTGAGTTTGACACCCCTGCTATACATATAAACTTTAGAGAAATAAAATTATTTTTTCAATCATTGAAACTAATTCCATGATCCAATGTTATAATTATATTTTGATTCCACCTATCTCATTTGCTATATTGCATTACATTACATTACTATTACATCATTTGTATTAGTCCTAATTTTTATGTAATTTGCAACTTCATGTAAAATACAGCTTCATTTCTTGATTTCCTTAATTGTTCATGTATTTGGAATTATAATAGCAAAATTTATTTCTGTATCAGTTATTGTTTCTTTACTTTTTCCATTACCTAAGTGAAAATCTCTCATAGAGGCAATTGCTATTAATATAATAATCTGCATGGCAAATGTTTGCATATCTTGGTTCCATAAACAAAATATTGTTCCATTAAGCAGTGAACCCATTTTTATAAGATATTATGTTTCGGAATTCTAGGCTGTAGTATCCTGTTATGTGGTGACCTTGTAATATCATAGCTGAAGTAAAAGTTCCTCTTGTTTTTTCAAGCTCTATTTGTAATTTAAGTCATATTGCATAGACATTGAATGCCAATGAATGTCGAACTATTATACTGTAAACAATCCAGTCCAATGGGAGGCTGTTATACTCCAACGTACTAAAATGGGAATCCAACCTTATGCATCTACAAATATTTCAGCACAAATTGTTGGAGAGGAACCATCCCAGTAAGGAGGAAGGCTCAAGGAGGAAAGTAGTCCACACTCATTATGTTAACACAAGGTTTGGTTTGACTCTATCCCATCAATGCTTTGAGCCTTATTTAACCTTTTCCAGATGAAAGCTGTAAGTCTAGGGAGATTTCTGTAGAATAGGCATAGAACAATAAAGTAGCTAATTTGAATTTTATACTTGTGGGTCTCATTGTTAATGCCTGACACAAATAGAAATCAGACAACAAGGGTCATATATCTTTGTGCCAGTATTGCACCAAATGGATTTGACATTATTTTTCTTTTAGTTTCTTTAGCTTTTTTATACATTGTAAGAGGAATGTCACAATAGTCTGTGATTGCCAAAAATAATAGAATCTGGAACCCCATTTAAGATTAACAATTTAAGTAAAATTTAAATTGGGATAAGGCAGGGTAGAAGTATTTGTAATCTGTCTCACATGTAAGATGAATCTTGTGCTTGTCCCTTTCCCTTTCTCATCCCAATTTATATCTACCCTGTTTCCTTGAAAATTAGACCTCCTCGGATAATAAGCCCAATCGAGCTTTTGAGCGAATGCNGAATGTTAGATTGGAAAAGAAAGTTGTCGTGCTACAATCAGAGGAAAGCAAGTTTGGACAGATAAAAGAAGACCAAAGAATAACGGATCATAAAATACCACCTAGAAACAAGAAAAATCAATGAAGCAGTGGAAATAATAAAGAAGCAAATAACAGCTAGCGCCAAGAAGATCAACAGATAAAAAGCTGAAATTGCGTACTATAGGCAATTTCAATCAAACCACAAAAGTTTCTGCCAATCCATCAATGGAGAAACCAGTCAACACCTGGCCAAGAAGAAACAGTATAGTTTTGGGCACAGCTATGGGACAACTCCACCTTCAAGTGAAACAAGTTGTGCCTGACTCACGATTATGAAGTTGCAGGGAGCCACAGTCACATGATTTCCAGTTACGATTTCCAGTTACAATTATCCTTGCCAGCTTTGCACAAGCAAAGTCACTGGGGAAGCTTCAGGGAAGATCACAAGTCATGCTGTTGAGTCCTTGGCTTTCCTGTTCTAATGCTTGTGCCACACCCTCCAATAAGCCTTCCTGAATTCATATGGCACCACATTTTTTACCATACAGTCTTCTTGCACTTACATTGCACCATGTGCTCCCCTGGTTTGATCTTCCCCAATTTGTGCACAGGCTGCACTGGGCTTCCCATGGTAGTCCTACGCTCCTTACTTGGAAGTTCCACCATTTCCTACTTAATGATGCCGCATTTTGAGGTTATAAGGGCAACCATAAGTACTCTATTTTTCATTGCTAAGCAATGTGGCTACATGATGTCACACTTCATGACTGCATCACTTTGCAATAGCAATTCCATTCCCAATTGCCATTGTAACCCAAAGGCTACCTATATCAGAAAGGGCCATGAAATCACTAGGAACTTTCCTCAACTTGAAGGAGATTTTATTTTACTTATTATATGTATTAAAACCATTTTTGTGCAACCTTCAATTTAATAAACTCTCTCAGTTATAAAACAATAGTAGCTGAGTTATAAAACAGTGTCCAATAAAAAGAAATCAATGGCAACAGTATAATTGACATAGTGAAGTATTAAAAAGTTGAAAGCAATAAATATATTATAACTGAAACACTTTTTCTCAGGTCACCTGTACTTCTATGGAAGAAAGAGACAGGAATGACGGTCCATAACAAATGAAGTAGAATTAGTGGCAACTGAAGGCACATGAGTTTGCTATTTTAAATGTTATCTCAAAACATTTATATCATGTTTATAAATATACTGGTAGCCAGAGTGTTATTTAAAAGCTAATATGGTCTAGTCTTAGTAGTCAGTCTTAGCTCCATGTTCAGAGCAATCCTTTTTTCCCCAAACATAGTTATCAAAGAATCAATAAGTCTGACAAAGTTAATGACAGTTGATTGGTGAAGTTGTTTTAATTATGTATTACTTAGCATTATCTGTTAATAATTACATGTTCAGATACTTTATTTACAGATGCTATAATTATATATGTTTATCATCTGAAATTCCAAGAAATAGAACTATTACTCAAAAATTCTGAAATCAGTATTTTTTGTGCCAATAACATTAGGATCTATTCTAAATGAGGATCCAGATTGTTGGGGGCAAGAGGCTGACTCTGTAAACCGCTTAGAGAGGGCACTATGAAGCATATATAAGTCTAAGTGCTATTGCTATTCTTGGAGAGTGATGGGCACACTGTTCAACTTTTCTAAATTTTAAAGAAAGCTTAATTAGGACAAAGTTAAGATGGTTAAACATGCTCCATTTAAACTTACATATTTAGCTATGCCCAATTCAATTATATTTTCAACTTTAAAATGGCAGGTCTAGTTTTTCATTTGTTTAGAAAACTTTCTTTACTTTAGAGAATACTGTGTCTTAAAGACTGAAATCTTTATTTTGTTACTTATCCACAGCCAAATTCAATAGTCCCAAGTTTCTACTATTTTTGTAGGAATAATAAATAATTAAGTAGAAAATTCCATTAAAACATCTGTATCAACAAGACTAAGCTTAACTGTTAGTTAATCTAAAAGTACTATACTACTGAAACTAACCATTCATTAAATTTATTCATTAATTAATTAAAAAAACTTTGTATCATCACTATCAGAATAATGAAATTAATTAAGTAATAATTGATTAGAAAGAAGTTACAAAAGTTGCCCCCCCCCTTATAGAAAATGAAGTTTTTGTATATTCAAAAGGTGCTTTTCCAAGAGGCAGCTGAACTTTCTGGTTTTTCTTCAAAGACGTTTCGCTTCTCATCCAAAAAGTTTCTACAGCTCTGCTTCTTGGATGAGAAGTGAAACATTTTCAAAGAAAAAACAGAAAGTCCAGTTGCCTCTTGAAAAAGCACCTTCAGGACAACCATGACCTGGATGACTGAGAATCTCCATAGACATTCTCTTAAATTCTTAATGAAAAGCTCATGGAAAAAAATATTCATTCTTGGTGTCTGTTCTGTGAAATTGAGGATATCAACAACATACCCAACAATTTGATTCTGTTTTATGGCTACACATATTATCATTCAATTCAGAATGAATATGTCTGAATTTCAGAAAAATCTGGATACAAATTAGGACATAAGAAAGATGAAAACCTAAAGCACCATGCCATGACAGAAGTGGAATATGGAGAGCATCTTAGGGAATATAAGTTTAAACTTTTATTTAGTTCAGTCCTGACTATCAACAAGCTATCTTGATGTTCAGAAAGGAGAATAATTCCTAAATTAACAGATTATAGATCAATGTAAATTGATAGTTTATACAAGCTTGCTGCGTTTATACAAGCTTGCTGCAATGCAAGCTTGTATAAACTCAGGATTGTTCAGAATCTCATTACTGAATATTCTGACGTAGAAGGATATCCTATCACAGGAGCTGTATGGTTGTCAGTAGACTGACAAGTTCATCAAAGAGAATGAAATTGGTTTAGAATGCTCTGGGTATGTGGCCCTGCTGTAAACACTATTTTTAGGAAGACTGTTTTAAGATCCAGATGATATGAAAGGGACAAATTAAATGAGTCTGTTTCATGTGTTCTTGTTTGTCTAGCACCTTCTATGCCACCCTATGAGTTGGAAACACCTTCAAATCAAACGGACAGCACCGTGACGGTTCTGTTGAAGCCTGCACAAAGCAGAGGTGCACCAGTCAGGTATTGTGATGTTGGGGAAGATGTACAAGATTAAAACAGAATTGATTAATTCCTTGACAGTGTTTTCTGGAGATCTTTCCTAATTCAGCACAGTTTAAATCCATTTTTGCATTATCTCTAATTAAACTAAATGGCAGACGAATACGAAAATCCTTTGGTGTAGAGCACTCAGGTATTATGTGCAGGATTTCAGACCTTAGTCTTTGAAAATAAAGAACAAAGCTGTAGTTCTCTTATGTGGGTGGTTTCTTTACTTCTACAAGGTAATTACTTATTGCAGTGGTATGAGTTCAAGAGTGCATCATTACTTTATCCTTTGCAACTGTGTTTTCTATAACTAATCTGTCTTGCAACTGAAGATTTAATCACCATTATTTCAGGTAATCAGATGACATGCTAGGAAATTTAAAAATTGAATTAGATTATAATCAGGTTAGGAAGGAAGAAGGAATGTTCACTAAATAGTGTTTGGCCAAGTAGTTTTTCAGCCTCAATCTCCTAATCTTCAATATGATAAGATTAATAATATGCTGCAGAATTGCGGTAAGAGATACAGCAAAATAATCCAAGTTAAATATTTTGCAAATCCTGAAATACTATGCAGATGCTTTTCCTTCAGTGATATGAATTTTTATGCAGGATCCAATCTGAGTCGGTCACCAAGACCAAAGTTTTGTTCTTGCAAGCTTGTTCATGCTAGACCCCATCAAGGAACTTTTCTTTCTCCAAAATATGTGCACTGGGCTATTCTACATGTTATATTTATATAGTCCCTAGGTGTGTGTAGCTCTTAGTTGTTAATTAGGATATTGATTTTGGAGATATATATATATATATATATATATCTATGTATATGTATGTATTGTGTCACAACCCCTGGTATTCCCTTTATTTATTTATCAGCACAAATGCAACACACACACACACATATACACACACACACACACACATATAC